GCTTCTGAAGGATTAGGAAGTGGGTCAATCGGGGTGGGCTTTGAGGTTGCAAAAGCCCATGCCAATACCCAGTGTGACTCTCTCTGCCTCCTGCCTGTGGGTCAGATGTGAACACTCAGCTACTGCTCCAGGGCCATGCCTGCCTGCCTGCCTGCCTGTTGCCATACGCCCCGCCATGATGGCCATGGAGTCACCTCTTAGACTATAGGCAAGCCCCCAGTTAAATGCTTCCTTTTATAAGCTGCCATGGCTATGGTGTCTCTTCACGACAACAGAACAGTAACTAAGACAGCTGGCTTCTTCCAGAGCAACCCTCAGCTCTGGGTGGTAGGGACACACAGGCTATTCCCCTGAGGCCTTGTAAGGAAGTTGGATGGTCATAACAGTGGTGAGTCCTCACTCTGCACCCTCCTCACTGAACTCCAGGTACTGAGGATGGAGCCCACAGCTTCACATTGTCAGGGAACACTGTGGCTCCCAGCAACAGTTTTTTCCCCTGCTTACCAGCTAGGTGACCTTAGGTGCATTGCTAAGCATCTCCTGGTTGCAGGTTTCTCTCCCCCAAAATGAGGGTATAACAATACTTATGTCACAGATTTATAATGGCAAATATTAGCCATTATTAGCTAATTAGTTTTGTTTTGTTATTTTGTTAGTGTGTCGTGAACTGAGAAGGCCCTGCCTAGATTTTGAGTAACTGTCCCCATTAGGTCCCACCCCTGAGTATATATCAGGGGGAAAAGGTCCCCAAAACAGACAGTGTGACCAAGGAACACCAAAGCCTGTACTAAGGTCAACCTGAGTAATGAGCCTCACATTTGCTGAGTTCTTCAACTGTTTGTTAAACAGTGTCATTTGCATCTCATATTGTTCTGTGGCAAGAAAAATAACAAGTATCCAGATGGAGACCACTACAGAAAGTCACAACCAATCAAAATGCAGAAACAAATAACCATGAGGTGTCTAGCCCCAACTGGTCCATCTACCACACAACAACTCCTGCACGTAAGGCTCAAGGATCGTACTGGAAGAGGAGACAGAGGGTTTTAAGAGCCAGAAGAAGAGGTTTGCTGTGACACTGCATCTCCTAGAGATGTCAGCGAGGACTCATGATGAATGAGGGAGACACCAGGAAGCAGAGAGGGTGCTGCTTCCTGGTCAGACAGCATGAGCAAGACAGCCGAGGAGGCGCCATCCCATCCACCAGCCGCAGAGCCCCTTAGACAAGGGCATGGGGAGAGATGCTGTGCACTGCTCTCTGAAAGTGCACAAAGTGTTCTGGGGGGAGGATAAGAGTTCACCTAGTTTACCACCAGTGATCACAAACAGCCAGGCCTAACCACACACCCACTTTCCAGCAACTCAAAACAGCAGGCCCGTACCTTGTAAGATAAAGGATCTAAATGTAAGAGCCAAAACCACAAAACTAAGAAAACACAGGTGCAAATCTTTGTGACCTTAAATTTAGCCAACGGTTTCTTAATGTTGGAGTGCCAGAATAAAAATAAAATAGGCAAATAGGATTTTATCAAAATTCAAAAAGGATGTGCATGAAAAAATGTTTAAAAAAAAGAAAGAAAGAAAACTATATAAAGGTCTGGGTTCTAGAGTATAAAGAACTCTTATCCTTCAATAACGAAAAAACAGAACTAGGAGTATAGCTCTGTGGTAGACTGTATATATGCTTAGCACGCGTAAGGCCCAGGGTCCAATCCTTAAAAAACAAACAAACAAATGACACAACTTAGAAACGGAAGATACAACTGAATAGATGTTATCCCAGAGAACATGCCAGTAAAAACACACAAAAACATTCAACCTCAGTAACCATTAGGGAAATGCAAATTAAACAGACAACAACCGTTGCTGAGGATGTGGAGAAACTGGAACGCCTCATACACTGCTGGTGAGGATTTAAAATGTGATAGTCCAGTAAGTCCACTCCAAAACAAATACGCAGACATGGGAGTGAGTATTGTCATCAACAACCCAAAGAGTATAAATAGCCCAGATGCCTATCAACTAACAAAGAAAATGTAGCCAGTACACACGATGGAGAGTTAGTCAGCTGTAACAAAATAAGGCCTATATGTTGAATAAGGATGAGCCTAGAAAACATGCGAAATGAAAGGAACCAGCCACAAAGACAAGATTCCATGTACAGGGAATGTTCCGATTAGGTACAGCTGTTGTTTACCACAGCCAGCCTGTGACAGAAAGCAGACGAGTGACTGCCTAGAGAGAGAACGAGGGGGGGTGTGCTGCTAATGGGTAGAGGGTTGATAAAGTAAATGCTCTAAAACTTGTGGGGATGACCATGCAATACTAAATACACTAGAACCTATGATTTGATTTGGTTTCTCCAGACATGGTTTCTCTGGGTAGCTATGGCTGTTCCTGAACCCACGATATAGACCAGGCTGGCCTTGAACTCAGATCTGCCTACCTCTGCCTCCTAAGTGCTGGGATTAAAGGCGTGCACCACCACAATCTGGCTTATACTGTCTATTTTAAATGAGGGGCTCATGTATAATCAGAGGCCCTTAAAAGTTTTGGGGGTGGTAGAAATGTAAATATTGGCTGTTGTATGGAATGCACAAATTTGTCAAACATCACTAAAGTGTACAAGACGGCAGGATGGGCTATAGCAGACATCGAAGCCGCCAGGCAACAAAAGAAAGGTGCTCTCTGGTCTCCAGGGGAAACTCAGAGGGATTTGAGTCTTGTGGGGATGGATGTCCTTAAGCTCTCTTTCACTTTGTCCTCTCAGCCATCCTGGAATGTCTGTCATTCCATCTCAGACCACTTCCTCAGGGGTCTACCCTGACTTCCTGGGCATCTCCATTCCCAGCCCTCAGCAACTGGGGCCAAGCACATGGGCAGGGCGCCATATTTGGGTGCAACCCATTGCTTCCTTAGAGATAACCTTGGCAGGGGTGCGGCAGCCTCTACGGTATAGCTGGTGCTGCAAATAAGAATAGATATGAAGAACTCCCCACCTCCACCCTCAAGGAAATGGTTTCCCGTCCTCCCACACTCACAGTATAAGCTACTAGGCAATGGGTTGAGCTGAGGACCCAGGGGAAACCAGAAGGATGTTTATGCTTGTCAAGTGCTGTTGAGTCTCACAGCCCACCCCAGCGGCAGGTATCACTATTGTCCTTAGGTAATGGACGCTCTATTTGTAGGGAAACTCCCTGGCTAAATGGGGAGGAATCTGGGATTCCTTCCTTGTCTGCTCCACAACATGGAGGTGGGAAAGGAGACAGAGGGAGACACCAAACTGCACCCCAGGCCACTTCACTAAGTACAGCACTCCAGAAAAATATCCACCAAGTTCCCAGCCGCCACGTGAGGGGCACCACACACACACACACACACACACACACACACACACACACACAGAGAGAGAGACAGAGAGAGACAGAGAGAGACAGAGAGAGAGACAGAGACACAGAGAGAGAAAGAGCGAGAGATGCAGACAGGCAGACTTCGGCTGTAGTTACTGTTCTCAAAGAGCTTAGGATTCCTACTCCACAAGACCAAATTGATTGACACTGAAAACAGAAACCCTCCACCAATACCCACCCTAGAGGAAATAGGGCTGTTAACTTTATGCAAAGGGTGGTTTGTAAAACTGAAAGAGTGCAGGTCCTTTGTATTCATACTCCAGCTTGTGTGACTCTGCTTGATCCTGTAAGAACTCCCTTGTGTGTTGGTGTTGTAGCTCAACGCTTGCCAGCACGCAAAAGACCCGAATTTAACGCTTATCTAGGTAGGTACAGCACTTCTAAGAGTCTACAATACTACCCTAGACTGGAGGTTGTCAAAGGCAGTCTCAGGACGCGGATGCCTAGCAGGACACTGGCACTGAGCGACCACTGAATGTGAAAATCCTGTGGGAGTGGACACATTAAGTTTGAAGAGGTCAAGAAGTGAGGCTGTCCGATTCCCCTCTGTCCAGTGTTCCAGTCTTGGGCAGCCCTGCTTCGTCTCCATCTGACCACCTGTCCTTGTTTTCCAACTCCCTACCTCCCTCGCGGTCCTCACCCCCAAGCCCAAACCCTTCTAGGATATACCTGGGCACAGACTGGAATAGAAGCCTTCCTTCTTGAGCATGATCAGCAGGGAGGCCCAGCCCAGGAGCACCGCGGAGAAGAAGAGGTTCTCCAGCACAGCGGTGCAAGCCATCCACCAGCGCCTGCCGTACGCCTGCTTCAGCGTGGGGGCCATGGTGGCCGAGACTCTGCAGAGAAACAGAGCGCTGAGAGAAGAAGGGCTTCCCAGTGGCCCTTGAGAAGGGTACTCCATCATGGTGGCTCCTGAGACCCCTGGAGCCAACCCGAGATGGAGCCCTCATGGAGGTCCCATAGAGCCCGGTGCTGCGGAGCTGGCTCCGCGCGCTCTGGCGGTGCCAGGGACGAACGCGCCACTGGCCCGCAGGGCACTATCAGGAACTAGAAAGGTCGGGTCTGGGAGAAGCAACTTCCTGGCGCGTTGCCGGGCTCGTCCACACGCGCCAGGGCGCACAGAGCCCGCTCCTGGAGCCAAACCCCAAGTTCCCAAAGTCTCCCTAAGTCAGCAAGGGGCGGACCGTGCTCTGCAGCCACCGCTGACCCGCGGCTCGCCAGCCTCTGGCGCCAGATCGGACTCTCGGACGCGGGCAGGAGGCGGAAAGGGAAGTCTGGGGCCAGCCCGAGACCCTCTATTCTCGTTACGCCTTTCATTCTACTCCTCCTCCGCAGGGCCCGGGTAGGAAAAAACTCCTCCCGCTCGCCGCGGCCGGCGCTCGCGTCCCTCCGGTCTCCTGGGCCAATCCCAAAGCTGCCACGTGGAGGGAGACCCTGGGCGGGCCCCGCGGCGCCCCCGCGCACCCCTCACTCAGCCGCGCGCCTGGGAACCCGCCAGCCCCTCAGTCCCCGGGAGAGAGCTCGGGCTCCGGCAGGAAGTCCTGTGCCTGCAGACTTTATAAGGACAGTGGCGGAGGATGGGGTGGCTGGCGGGCGGGTGTGTTTACCAGAGGGAACGAAGAAACCGGAGCTCGCCCGGGCCGCGGTCGCCACCGCCGACAAGGGAGGCGAGACCCGGGTAAGCGGAGAGGGGACAGGCAGGGAAGAGCAAGCAAGAAAGACGAAGGGGAAGGAGGCGCCAGCTCTTTCTCCAGGGGGTGGCCCATCACCTCATCTGTAGAATGGGGCGTTCGATCCGGTGATCCCCGAGCTCCCTTCTCAGAGTGGACTAAAAGAATGGAGTGGTCGGAGAGAGGGAACAATGTGCCCAGGGTCTCAGGTAACGGAGGCGTCGAGGGGACCTGCAAGAGTGGCTGGGTGACTTTGAACGGCACCAGCTGCTCACCTGTCCCCGGCAAACTTGCCTCCCGCCGCCGTTGACACCCGGGGTAACACAGAGCCTCCGCGGCGCGTCCACACTCCGGATCGCCGGAGACCCAGGATCCCAATCCCAAATCGCATCCACGCGGGGGTCTTCCGGGCGTGCCAGGCCCAGGGGGCCTCGGAGCCCGCCGGTCTCACCTCGTCTGCGCCCTCGAAAGAAGCGGTGGACCCGAGAACCGTCCAGGCGCCACGGAACCCTGAAGCGGGGAAGCCGGCGCATGGACTACGCGATCTGTCGAGTTGATAGTTGTATTTACAGGCGTCCAGAGCAGCGCCCCTAGGTGGGGGCGGGGGTTCCCTTCCCTTCCCCTCCCCTTAGGTCGAGTTTCACTCACACGTGACTCGCCTGATGGTCCCCAGATACTCTTCTTACCCAGTACGCCCCGCGCCTAAATTTCCACTCTCGACCCCCCACCTTCTCTGTTGACCCCCCCCCGAACTAAGGTTTGATAGCATTCTCTGCATCTTTGTTCCAAACAACCAAAGACCTGGCTGGGGTTAGGCTGGATGCTGGAGAGGCTTGGGTGGGGTTTAGATCTGCGAGATCAAAAAGGAGTGTTTCCTTCTGAATGGCACAACTCTTTTGGAGTTTATATGCCCCGATTACATAGGAGCAGGCATTTTGAAAACTGACAAACCTGGGTCACTTTGGGCGACTTAACCTCTCAGAGCTTCGGTACCCTTCTCTGTAAGTTTGTTTAGCAGTAGAATTTGCCTGTCTGTCAAGATGAGTTGGGATTAGGACGCAGTTGTAATGCTGGCACACTTGGCGTGGTGAGCGTGGTACATATTAATTGTTGCGGCTATTGTCGTTATTTCACAAGACTCAATCAATGATCAGCGGCTTCCCGTTGCTAGATGATTGATCTTGGTAAACCGTTCAACCCACCTGGCCTCAAGTTCCTCACCTGTAACCCAGGGAAGGTATTCAATACTTGTCTGGACAATGGTACAGATTAAGAAAAGAATTATGCTAAAGGAAAATACGGATGTGGGTTAATTCAGTGCATTAGGAGTGAATTTTAAAAAAAGAGAGAGAGTAGTTAGGCAGTGGTGTCACACACCTTTAATCCCTGCACTTGGGAGGTAGAAGCAGGTGGGTCCCTTGAGTTCCAGGTGCCAGTTTCAGGACAGCCAAGGCTACACAGAGAAACCCTGTCTCCAGAGGGGGCGGGGCGGGGCGGGGTCAAAGCGTGGGGCTACGGATGTGGCTCAGCAGATAAAATGCTTGCTTAGTATGCCTGAGCCTTGAGGTTCCTTCCAAAGCGCCACACAAACCAGGTGCATGTCTATGATCCTAGCAAAGGAGAGGCAGAGGCAAAAGGATCAGAAGTTCGAGGTCAGCCTGGGTTCCATGAAACCCTGTCTCAAAACAAGAACGCGAAGAGTGCTGCAGATGCCACTCACAGAGCTCTGATGGAGTATGACCAAGTGCAGAGAGTTCCACAAAGGTAGGCGACAGGGAGTCCCTGAGCCCCTGAGCGGCTGAGCCACATCACCGAAAACGCTGCCAAGTGACTGCGTAGTGACGGACGCCTCCCAAAACAAAAGTGTTCAGCTCAACGCAGTGTGCTTCCAGCCTCACAAGTTTTCACGCTGAGTAGACTAGACCACAGTGATTGGAGGCAGGCCTGTCTGGCTTGTAGTTTCTCTGATGTTTTCATTCCTGTGAGCCAGGTGAAGGAACAGCTAAGCAAAAGCTTGGCAGCAGAAAGGCACGGGGAGTTCTCTGGCAACCGCTCATGTAGGCTTTGGTGGTGGTTTTACTTCTTAAAACGCCTTGCTGGCTGCAGGTTGGGAAGTACGGCTGAGCAGTGGAGCTCTCGCATATGGATGCGTTCCATTACAGAAAGGCGAGTGCACGCACAACACATGCTCGGGCCTCCAGACCTTTCACCTCGGGTCAAATTCCTTAGCTCAGTACAAGGCACCCTACAGGAAAGGTTCTAGCTCAAGAACTTTGTGGTTCTTCTTGAAACTACAATAAAATATGAATCCATTGTCTATGAAAATGCTTTGTGAACATAAGCACAGGCATTCACATTGAAATCACAGTGGGGTTGTGAGCCCCATCCACGAGACTTGGGTGTCCTGTGTCTGGGAGGCTGCTTGCTGTTCCTCATCCTATCCAATGTTCCCATCTTCCTCTTGGGGACTCTCAGCTCTGTGAAGTCAGGAGCTTTTGCTGTGTTCGCTGCTTACGAGTATCCAAAACACCTAAGAGGTGTTCACTGAGCACATGTGCAGCCAAGAGCCCGGCCAGCTGGTTTCACACCTTGCTGTCTCTGCACCTGTTCTGCCTTCTTGTGGGAGTGACAGATTCACTTCTTCATTTCCGATTCCCTCGTGCCTACAGCACTGCTCAAGCTTCACCTTTGTTTGGGGGCTGCCCGCATAGCCCCAAACACTGCTGACCTCTTCAGAACCCTCCTGCTACCCTAATATGATCAGTTTCCCTCCTCCCCTTCCCCACTCCAGGGCTGCACGTCTGTTGAGTGTAAGAACAACCATGCTGAAGGTAATTTGTACGGCTGCTGCCTACCGCAGACCTGGCATTTGGTAAACTGCTGGTAAACATTTGTTGAGTAAATGGGAAGGGAGTGGCAGGAAATAAATCTGGGAAGGAAGGCTAGGACGACTTTGAAACGGAGTCCATGAAGCCAAGTACTTACAGTGCTGGGAACTGTAAAAGCCCTGGATTTTATTGGTACGGGATGTCCTTCTGTATGCTACAAATATGTGTTGCTTTTGTTGGTTGATAAATAGAGCTGATTCAGCCAATGGCCAGGGAGAATATTGCTAGGCAGGAAATCTAAACAAAGACACAGAGGAAAAAGTAGGCAGAGTCAGGGAGATGCCATGTAGCCCCTGTAGGAGTAACATGCTGGAGCGTCACCTATAAGCCACAGCCTTGTGGCAGTACGCAGATTCATAGAAATTGGTTAATTTATAAGAGAGAGGTAGCCACTAATATGTCTGAGTCATTGGCCAAACAATTATATTTAATATTAGCCTCTGAATGATTATTCCCAGAGAGAAACCAGTCCAGTGGGACCGGATGAGACAGAAAAACTTCCGACGACATTTTATTGTTTTCTTTGGGTTTTGTTTGCAGGAGACATACATGGTTAAGTTTGTGTGTTTAATGAAAAGAGTTTAAAGAAAACCTAAGTAAGGTCAGGTATTTTCACACAAACCTGTAATCCCAGCGCTTGGAAAGCAGAGATAAGGCAAGGCGTCAGGCGCAACTGCAAAGCCAGTTCTAAGCTAGGGAGACAGAGCAAATCTAAGACCAGAAAACAGGGACGCTGGAGAGATGACTCAACCATCAAGAGTACTTGTTGCTCTTGCAGAGGACCTGGGCTGGGTTCCCAGCCACCCACATGGTGGCTCTCAGTGATCTGTGACATCGGTTCAGTGGAACTTGGTGCCCTCTTCTGGTATCCACAGGCATTTCATGCACATGGTGCACTTTCCTGCCAAACTACTCAATACACATAAAAATAAAATCTTTTTTTGTTTGTTTTTTTGTTTTGTTTTGTTTTGTTTTTCGAGACAGGGTTTCTCTGTATTGCTTTGGAGGCTGTCCTGGAACTTGCTCTGTAGACCAGGCTGGCCTCGAACTCACAGGGATCCACTTGCCTCTGCGTCCCGAGTGCTGGGATTAAAGGTGTGTGCCACCAACACCTGGCACACACCTTTAAATCTTAAAGATTCTATTCCAGAGGAGCACATGAGGTCTTGGGAAGCTGAACAAGGGTCATGGTGGGAATGTATAATTGGGGAATGTGTGATATGCCACTATGGGAATGTATAGTGGGGACGGGAGTTGCATCTAGTAAGGAGCTCTTCAAGGGTGATGACATGTAAGCTGAGATCTGAGATACCTTTTTTAAATTTATTTTATTTTTATTTTGTATACATTGGTGTTTTGCCATGGGAGTCAGGTCCCATGGAACTGGAGTTACAGACAGTTGTGAGCTGCCATGTGGATGCTGGGAACCCTCGTCCTCTGGAAGAGCAGTCAGTGCTCTTAACCACTGAGCCATCTCTCCAGCTCCAATCTGCGATAACTTTAGGGGGCAGAATCAGCAAGCTTTATCAGTCCCCAAGAGAAGGAAACCGCACATGAAGGATTTAATTCCTAGAGCTGGAGAGAAGCATATAGAGGAAGGGGACTATTGCACAGGTTGTCACTGAGGACTGCCTTTCCAGGCCTGTCCTATTGAGTCTTCTAAGACTCTGAGGATGCCTCAGCAAGTTAAATGACCGTTCTCTGCCTCTCTTGCCCCTCACCCATTGCTGCCTATGTCAGCAGCAGTACCAACTGCTGGGTTTCAGTGACAGAACTGAGACACCCCAGATTCTGCTTCCTGCCTCCCTCTTCTCACGCAGCCTGCCTGTAGACTGTAGTCCCCACCCTCTAAAGACTCCTTGTCTGCACACACTGGCCTTCCCAGCCCCTACTGCTCACTGTAGTCCCCGCCCCCTAAAGGCTCCTTGTCTGCACACACTGGCCTTCCCAGCCCCTACTGCTCACTGTAGTCCCTGCCCCCTAAAGACTCCTTGTCTGCACACACTGACCTTCCCAGCCCCTACTGCTCACTGTAGTCCCCGCCCCCTAAAGGCTCCTTGTCTGCACACACTGACCTTCCCAGCCCCTACTGCTCACTGAACTCGGGACCCTTGCAACCTGGCCTTCCCAGCTCCACGCCACATATAACCAGCATGACCTACTGGAAACAAGAGTTTTATCTGGTCACTCCCTTTGAAATGTATTCAGTGTCCTTTTGTTACTGGAGTTAGGTCAGTGGTTATGTTCTTGTGAGTCCAAGCTTGGCCTCCTGTCCACAACAGGTCAGTTAGAAGAACCAAGTGAACCCCAGAAACAACGTGTTTAATGTGACCACACAGAGAAAGGGGACAAAGAGATAGTGACCCTGAGTCCCAAGTCCACCCCAGGGGCCTTGGCACAAGGTTTAGGCTTAAGTGGAGAGCTGGAGGGATGCAAAGCTGAGTCATCCTTGTCGGGGTGTGGTTCTGCCTATCACTGACCTGTCCTTGTTTGAACTTTACTTTCATCCTGCAAGGTGGCCTGAGCAGTTGTCAGAAATGGGAAGTCTCCGTCTAAGAGACAAGGTCCTCCTCTGGCTGGCACCCAGCTTCAGCATCTCTCTCCTCCAGCGCAAGAGACCTGAAGAAATTCCAGTTCGTTGTTGGCCATTATTTTAGTAATGACCAAAGGAGGAGCTTTAGGGTATGTGTATGCCTGTTCAGATGACTCCACTGTTCAGACTCAAACGATGACCCCTGACTCCGTGTCATCCGTGCCCCAGAGCTGCTTAAGACCCCTTCCTAGTCCTTGTGACCTGGCCCTGCTAATCTCCTTCACAGCATTAACATTTCATACTTTCTCCCACCTCGAGTCCTTCTTGGGCCCTGAACATTCTTCTGACCTGACATAGTAAACCGATCCTTCAAATCAGAGCTGAAGGTGATGTTCTCGGTGCCTGATTCTCTCCAATAACTTGCCAGGGTCAGTCTGTAAATCCCTTTGTTGTGTGGCCTATAAAGCATTGGGCTTTTCTTGTAATAAACTCTTAGGGTGTGACCGCTTCCCTGGTGGACTATGTGCCTCTCAGGACAGGCGCCTGCATGCACCGCCCCTCTAGACACCCACCCTCCGGACCCTGCCTGGCAAATCCTGCTCGTCTTTGACTCTCGATAGACTATCACTCTGCGGGAGGCAGCCTTCACTGGACACCCAGACTATGAGCACATTCCTTCTCATAGCCACACAGCTTCTGGAACACCTCTCGTCGCATTTCACTTAGTGAAGGGTCTCTGGATTACAGTTCAAGGAGACACCGGGGACAACCTAAGAAATTTATTAGAAATACTAGTGCCATGGGAAGTGGCAAGTGGAGGTTCTGGGAGGACCCCAATACTATAGACAGAGGTTCTGGGAGGACCCCAATACTATAGACAGACAGCATGGAAGAGGCCAAGTGAGGGGCCCTTCTTACGGGTCTCAGAGGAAGAGGAAAATTCCATGTACCAGTAATTGATGAGTATCCACAGCACAGGCCTGCCTCTGTTTCCCAGGGATTGTGGATAGGGGGTCTTGCATAAAGCAAGCAAGAAAGGAATCTTGTCACTGTGTGACTTAGAGGATGGGGGGAACTGGGGAGGAGGGGTATATTTACTTACGGGGTAGGTGTTGGGGGGTGCCACTGGTACCCTCTGATATCTTGGGAGTCTAGCAGCCTGGTTCTATCCTTGAGGAAGTAAGAATAAGGGTGCCAGAGGCAGTGAGATGACTCGGTGGGTAGACGCTTGCCACCGAGCCTGTGTTCAATCCCTGGGACCTACATGACTAAAAGTAAAAACTGATACTTGCAAGTTTTCCCCTGACATATGTACATATGTATCCACTAAATAATTTAGTTAGGGAGCAGGGCATTGGTGGTGCACGCCTTTAATCCCAGCACTCGGGAGGCAAAGGCAAGAGGAACTCTGTGAGTTCGGGACCAGCCTGGTCTACAAGAGCTAGTTCCAGGACAGCCTCCAAAGCCACAGAGAAACCCTGCCTTGAAAAAAAAAAACAAAGTAATTTAGTTAGGGCACCTCTGGCCCCATCCTTCACTGGCCAGGGGAGAGCTGCCCCCCATGGAAGAGTTGACCCCGCCCCACAAGTGTGGGAGAGCTGGTTTCACCCCTCACCTGAGAGGGGTGGTCCCAGTCTATAGGTAGACCAACTCAGCTACCACCCAGGCACACATCCAGGGCTTTGAGTTGGCACCTCCCAACATCCAGTGACCTGCTGGAGTGTGTGAAGGGTCTGGTCCTGTGGAACCATAGTTGAAGGATCTCCATGACTTGAGGCAACAGCAGGATATTTGGGAGGAGATTCAGTGAGGGTCCAGTATTGATGGTCCAGTATTCAGTGATGGTCTGGTATTTATTCTACCGAAATCCAGAGGCCTTAAACCTGACCAGCAACACACTACACGATGAACATTTGCAAGTAAAGCTGTACTGCAGGATACATAGCAACTCCCTGTGCCACTAAGGGAAATGAAGAGGTGATGGGGGGGCGGGGAGATGGAAGGACGAAGTGGATTTTGTGTTTGTTTATGATTTTTGTGCTTTAATTAATATTCTTATTTGTGTTTTTTATTTTTATTATCTTAAGTTTTACTTGGATGCTACAAGGGTGAAAGGTGGGTATGGAGGGACTGGGAATTGAGTGACATTGGGGTACATGGTGTGAAATTCCCAAAGAATCAATAAAAAATGTTTAAAATAAATGAATGAGGACACCTGCTATTCTTCTGGGGTCCAGGCACCTGGGGAGCTAGAGGGTAAGAGACAGGCTCTCCGTAGAGGACTTACCATTTCCTTTACAGCAGCTTCGAGGAAGAGGCTGCCACACGTGGTCAGCTTCTGGTCCAAAACCTAACATTTCCCACAAGTATAAAACCGCCTGGTTTTAGTATTTGTCCCACCGACTAGATGGTTTAGAACCTCATTCCACTGTGTTCTATCATGTTGCGGCCTGGGGAGTCCAGCTCCCAGGACTGTACCCAGGGTAACGAAAAGAATGCCTCAGAGGAGGAAGGACTTCGGGGAAATTTCCTATCTGTCTAAAGAAAGAAGACAGATGTCTGAGGTCATGTTCTTCCTATTTCCAGCACCCGTAGTTCTAAATCTTTAGTTCCAGTTCTCTCTGTTTCTCTGTTCCAATTCCCCCTAGCTGCCTTGTTCATACAGCTTATATACACGTCGAGACAGGGTTTCTCTGTAGCTTTGGAGCCTATCCTGGAACTTGCTGTGTAGAATAGGATGGCCTGGAACTCACAGAGCTCTGTCTGTCTCTGCTTTCCAAGTGCTGGGACTAAAGGCATGCGCCACCACCACCTGGCTAATTTTTTACTTATTTTATATGTATGAGTGTTTTTTCTGGGTAGGTTTCTCTGCACCATGTGTGAGAAATGCCAGAGGAGGACAGAAAAGGGTCTCAGATCCCCTGGAGTTATAGATGGTTGTTAGTCACCATGTGAGTGCTGGGAATTGAACCTGGGTCCTCTGGAAAAGCACCCACTGTGCTTAACCGCTGAGCCATCCCAATGCATTCCTTGAGTCAAGGATAAGGGATACCTGTGAAATAAACGTGTCAGCTTCTGGTCAGTAGGCAGATGTAAAAGGGAGTATCGGCTGTGGTGTTACTGCTTAAGAATGTTGCTTACAAGTGGTTATAGAGCCGGGCGTTGGTGGCGCACGCCTTTAATCCCAGCACTTGGGAGGCAGAGGCAGGCGGATCTCTGTGAGTTCTAGGCCAGCCTGGTCTACAAGGGTTAGTTCCAGGACAGCCTGCAAAGCCACAGAGAAACCCTGTCTTGAAAAACCAAAAAAAAAAAAGAAAAAGAAAAAGAAAAAACTAAAAAACAAACAAAAAAAACCAAGAAGAGAAACGATAAACTTGTATCAAGAGGTCTAAGGAAGAATAAGAAGCCATGTACTACTCTATTTCTTAAGTGTATTAAGTCTTATAGACTGGCATTGTGATTAACAAGCTGTAAAGGTGTCATTTTCCCCACAGCCCTAACAGGAAGAGTGCAGCTGGATGGCTGGGGCTTTTGTGAGCAGTCTGTGAGTAACCATGGCAACCCACAGGAGACAGGTCGCTGGTCTCTGTTATCAGCCAAGCCTGGCTAAAGAAGCAGGCATAGCAGTTCTATGCCGCTTTGTGCTAGTAACATCAGTTAGACACCTGCAATTTTGTCCTTGTGTATAACTGCAAAGTTTCTAGCTTATGATCCATTCACAGAAACATTCGATCTAGTTTGGATTTGCTCTTCAGGTTATGAGTCAATTAACTGAATGTGGCTTGTCTTAGAACTGAGAAGAAATTGTTGTTTTCTTTATGCCAGTCTGAGCTAGTGATAAAAAACAGGGCCTAAGTGTCTTACAGTCCTAATAATAGATCTGGTTATGAAGCATATCCTAGTATATTTTCTATATATCAAAATCATACAGATTAATGAGAAACCATCTTCCTGACCATCTACAGATATATATGTCCATAAGACTGAGATGTACTCATGAGATTACACATTACAGTGTATTGGGAGCTACCATAGCCGTCTTTGCACATGTGAATTTACAGACAGAAGCAGTCAGTATTTATAGGCAATATTTTCATAAGCCTTGCCTATGAATTTCCTCCATCAGATTAGTTGATCACCTGGTGGGTCGGCCTTATAAACATCAGTTGTCATCTGTAATCACATCATGACCGAAACAGCTCTTGACATTATCACCTAAGACAATGCTCATTATAAGACCCCTCTCTGCTCAGCATACAAGAGTTCCCATGCAAGTCTATATGCACACATTGAGGAAACAGTTCTTAGCTTTTGTCAGATTTTTAAAGGTCTGAGAACTGAAAGAACCTAAGAGCCTTCCCCTAGATCCTGAAATGTCTATCTGCCCTTCCAAACAGCACCCCCACCACAATATAGGCTCTAGGAGGGCAAGTGTCTTATGATATATCCCAAGGGCCTAGAATGGTACCCAACACATTCTAGCATCCGTGTAAAATGACCAAGAGTCTCAGACAACCTCTGCAGATACATAGACAGCATGAGTATGAACTGTCTAGGCTGAGTTACCCCCAAATAGAACACTTTGAACAAACATTTATGATCTCAGCCTCTCTGAGTTAGTAGGAATTAAGGTATGACTTGGCTGGGTCCTGACTGCCAATGTCTCTCCCAGGCTGCAAAGTGTGGATCAGGGATGCTCTCATCTGAAAGCTAAGCAGAGGTAAGCTCACTCACACTCTGTGGCACTCACCATGTAAGTGCTGCTTACCACAGGGGCCTTGTCCCAGGTCTGCTCACGACACGGGAGCTTCATCAGAGTGAGCAGGGAAGGGAACATAAGTGTGCATAACTGCATCCTGTCACCTCAGATAGGGTCTTTTTATAAGGAGACGTCCCGTGGTCTCATGCACATTGCACACAGGGAGGGGATGCACCTAAGAGCACAAATACCAGGTGGCACCCCCTGAGGCCCAAGGCATCTTAGAAGTTGCCTACCACGGAATACACTAGCAGCAGAAGGCATAGACCAGAGCCTGCTGAGTCAGGCCAGTGAGGAGGCAAAAACCAGTGGTGAGTGATTTAGTGAATGGCTGAGGCTTTGCCCACCTTCCAACAGGCGGCTGGCAACCTGTAATGCAGATTTACAGGTCTTCTTTCTAAAAGTAGCCACAGCCCAGATTTTTGTGAGATAGTTCCTGATTTTTAAAACTGGGTAAATCAAGGGGAACCACATCCAGGTTTACACTTCCTCCAAAATACAGGAAGGCCCTAATCCTGTCTTCTTTCTCCTACCCTTTGAGTATGTCTGCCAGCTCTCCAATCCTTCACTCCACCCCACCCCATCGGCAGCAGGAACCTAACCAACTCATTCTGTGCACGTCCCACAGAAAATGGTCTGAAAATGCAAAAATGCTGCAATGTCGCCTCCCTAGGGAATTGCCCTGACGCCAAGAACAGCAGCTTAAGCAGCCTCAGGTCTGTAACTTGGGATCTCAGTTCTGCCTTGAACAAGTGATTAACTCTTGGGAGCCTCGGCCTCTTCATCCCTAAAATGTAACCGTTGTACCTGGCTCAGAGTTGCCCTAACAGTAATACGTGTGAGGTTCAGCAGAGCTTAGCTACAGCAACTCAATAACTGTGAGCTGGTCTTACATCATTACCCCTTTCTCTCCTGTCTGCACCATGATCTTCTGTCATCTAACACTATCTGGCAGGGAGAGTAAGCCTTTGAAAAGCAGAGCTGTCATTGCCACCGAGAAGTTTAAATCCTCTAACAGTATGCTGATGCCCATAGCAGGCGAAAATCCAAATGGTTTAGCACAACCCACTCCCTAGGCTGTTCTGGAGCTGAGCCTGCCCAGGTTTTTGGGCGCATCACTCTGCTTTTCTCTTCACACGTGGTGTTGCAGCCACACTGTAGCTGTTTCAGAGCGCCACACTTCCCTGCCATGGCAAAGCCTTTCTAAGAGCTATCCCTGAGCTGGGACCTCTCCTCCCCCTGTCTACCAGGCGGTGTTGGTTCCTGCTGTGCACTATCAGGAGGATACTCATTATATCCCTTTTAAA